GTGGCATGTTTGACACCTCTGCTTTGGAGTAACTGCTGGTTACTACATTGAAGAGAGTCCTTAAGTTTTGCAGAATTATTTTTCTTTACACTGTTACAGTCATATAAACTATTCTCCTGGCTTTGCTTACCTCACTCTAGGTCAGCTTGTATAATTTCTCCCAGGTTTAAAAAAAAAAATCCATCCCTTTTGTCATTTCTTATGATGCAATGATTCCATTATATTCATGTTTAGCCATTTACCTGATAGGTACCCCATTAGTTTCCAATTCTTTGCTACGACAAAAAAATGCTGCTATCAGTATTTTTTGTACATGTAGTACTTACCCCCCCCCCCTTCTTTTAACTCTTTGGGGTATGATTTTTTTTGGAGGGAGGTATCATTTTTTTTTGGAGGGAGGTATCATCTCCAAAATGGCCTTGTCAATTTATGTTTTCATCAACAATGCCTGTACTCTCACATATCCTCCAACAACTGTTACTTTCATTTTTTGACATCCTTGCCAATCTGATGGGTATGAGGTGGAGCTTTAAAATTATTTTAATTTGAATTAAATATTTAATTATTTGTAGTATCTTTTTTCTCCTGGCTGTTAACTTGGTTGTTAACTTTTCTTTTTGAGAACTGTCTGTCTCTTTACATTCTTTGATCATTTATCTACTGGGGAAGTGACCCTGAGCTCTTGAAAGGGTATGCCGGTGAAGAATAAGGTCTAGTAGTCTTAATAAGCCAGAAAGCTTCTAGTACAGACCTAGTAATAGACCAGGTTGTCCTTAACCTTTTTTTGTATATTCACGGATACCTTTGGCAGCCTTGTAGAGCCTATGGACCCTTTCTCAGAATAATGTTTTTCAAATACACAAAATGATATTATTTCAAAGGAAATCAATTACATTGAAAATTACCAAAATAGCAAACAAACTCAAAAAACAAGTTCATGCACCTCAGGTTAAAAATTTCTGCAATAGCCTATATATTTGTCATCTGAGAACTAGCTTATCTCAGGTTCAGAGAGGTTCTTCAGAGGGTTAGCCACTGTATTGTATCTCATGGGTTTACTTTCAGAGTTTAGAAAGTTGATTCAGTTCTTCCACTATTCAGTAGAAAATACCCTCTAAATGGATAACTACATACACACCAGAGAAACTGAGAACAATTCATAAATAAAGCTTATGTATCACAGTGAGGTTTATGTTTCAAAAAATTATTCTGCCATTAAAAAGGTCCTTTTCAAGTTTAATAAAGCTTTGTAAAAAATAATTACAAGAAAAATGATCTATTAGCACAATACTGATTCCTTCCATGTTATCTTAAAATTTATTTTTAGATATGAATTCTATCCCCCCCACCTCTTACCACAAATTGAAAAAGCAAGAAAAACAAAACCTTTGTTTTAAACATTTACAGTCAGGCAAAAATTTCCACATTGGCCCATATCAAAAAAAGAAAAGTCATGCTTCAGCCTGCACTCTGAGTCCACCTTTATATCAGGAGTTGGGTTCATCATGAGTCCTTTGGATTTGTTATGGATCATTGAATTGATCAGAATAGCTAAGTCTGTCACAATTTATTATTGTTACAATATTGCTGTTATTGTGTACAATGTTCTCCTGGTTCTGCTCACTTCACTCTGCATCAGTTCATATAAGACTTTCCAGGTTTCTCTGAAACTATCCCCTTCATCATTTTTTTTCACGTAGAATAGTATTACAACACATTCATATACCATAACTTGTTCAGCCATTCCCCAACTGATGGAAATACCGTTTCCAATTCTTTGCCACCACAAAAAGAGCAGTTATAAATATTTTTGTACATATGGGCTCTTTTCCTCTTTCTTTGATCTCTTTGCAGTATATACCTAATAACCCAGTGAGAATATGTTTAAGGATATGTTTTACATTCAGTTGGAATCCTGGTAAAAACAAAAACTGAAGTACAGGTTTCTTCCTAGTGCTTTAGGAAGAATCTTATTCTGGCCCTGTAGATTTAGTTGCATAGTTGTCAAATACCAACGTCTTTTTATTTTAAGATGCAATAACACAAATAGTCCATCCTAGTTTTTGTCTTAAATATAAAAAAAAAAAGAGTTCCATCCCTGGCACACGGTTATATTTCAGCAGTTTTCTCCCTTCCCTAGAGATTTCAGGGCAATAATCAGAGCGAGGCAATGTGTTATCTATTGTTTCCACTACCAAATCTCTGAGAATGCCATGGTGATAGGAGAAAAAGAGAGGGTGGGAGAAAAATATGGTTCACCACGTAGCTAATTTTGCTAATTTATTATGCACTGCATAGAAATGAGAGCTGAAGTCTGTGAAAAATTTTATCTCTGTATTTCCCAGAGTCCAGGGGTGTCACACCTCTGTACAGGTGGTTGTTATCTATATAATCACAGCTCACTGGGATTTTGATTAGTGGCTTTTTGGCTCAGGTAATATAAGAAAGTCATTGTCCATGACCTGAATTCTTGAAAACACAGTTCTCCTAAGTCAGTCTCCAAACTTTAAGACATGCTATATGAGTCCAGTAATCAGATTAACTAAACTCAGGCCTTTTTTTAGGGCAGCTAAGGGGTGTGGTAGATGGGAGTGCTGTTCCTGGATTCAGAAAGACCTGAGTTCAAATGCGATCTCAGACACTTGCTAGCTGTATGACCCTGGGTAAGTCACTTAACCCTGTTTGCTTCACCTGCCTCATCTGTAAGATGAGAAGGAAAAGGAAATGGCAAACCACTCTAGTATCTTTGGTAAGAAAACTTCAAATCGGGTCACAAAGAACAGCAGGAGCAGCAGGAATGACTATCACAACTCCAACAAGAGGCACAAGTCTTTTGTTCCACACTTCATATACTGGGGTATCTTGATTCAACTGAAAGGTCAGCAGACACAGGAAGTCAGGAAAATGCTTCCATTAGAGTTAAAATGTGCTGAGATATTTTTGGTCATAACAAGTTAACATAAAAACGTCTAAAGCATTGAGGGCTTGCTTGACTAATGGAATTGGTGATATCTGAACTGGTGAGCTCACAGGTCTTTTGAAATTGAGTAATATTTGTATACACAAAACCTTATAGAGTGTACACAACTCCCAGGCAATCAGAACACTTAGTAACTATCCATATGGAACAGATTAAAACCCATGTTGAAGGGAAATATGGCTGTTGTCCCTTTTCCAGTCATTTGGATACTAAAATAGATTATTCCTTAAGGCTGTTTCTCTCGAGTGAAGATTACCGAGTAGCTCTGAAGTTCAGCAAATTATTTTTGGAGATTTATAAGTTATCTTATTTGTAATTATATTTGTTAAATGCTTTAAAGTTTGCAAAACACCTCGCAAAGTATCTCATTTTAATGTTACAACACTCCTGGGACAGGTTTCTAAGGATGAGGTAGGTACATAGATGATCATCCTCATTTTAAAGATGAAGAAACTGAGTCCATTTGTCCATCATCACATGGCCAGGTTTTCCCGACTCCAAGTCCAACACTCTATGCACTAAACATGGGCGTCAAACATGGAAGCCCCCGGGCTCCATGTGGCCCACATCACTCGACTGTGGCCTGAACCAGATTAAAATGTAGTTCTTATCTGATTTTCATGTGCTGCTGTATTAATAAAAAAAGAAATGCATAAACATACGTGGCTTTCTATGCCAGTATGTTATCTGGAGGGATCCCTCTGTATGGTGGGGTGACTCTCATTTCCATTTGAGGTTGACACTTCTACTCTACACTAAATGCTGCTTTCTGAACCCTTTGCTTATGTGAGAATTGGGCAACCAGGGATAGGAGAGAAAGTGGAGGTGGTTCTGTTTCATTCAAGAGTAGATACCATGGGAGGAAAAAAGGGGAAACACTGTTGTCTTGTTCTGAGGACCTTATGATGGTGCTTTTTAATGTGTTTTCTTTTATATTACTGTGGTCACTGTGTCAATTTTGTTTTCCTTTCTTTTTTAAAATAAATTTCACTGATACATTTTGTTCTTACATTATACTTATTTTTGGATATAACTCCCACCCTGATCTTGCAATCAAATTTTCCCTTGAGTCCCATCTCTCTGATGAGAGAAAGGAGGTATATTTCATTGTGGTGCTTGGAGATCATTACTGGATTTTTCAATTACTCAGAATTTGCCTCTTTAAGAATTATTTTTTCATTTATGTTACTGTAGCCATTACATATATTGCTAGCTCACTTGGCATGAATTCATACAAATTTTCCATGTTTCTTTGAATTCATCATATGTCATTTCTTATTGTACAAGAATATTCCATTAGTCATATGCCATAATGTTTAACCACTCCCTAATTGAAGACAACCACTTTATTTCCAGACCTTTGTAATCACAAAAGGTTCTGCATTGTGTTTTCTTAGGGTAAACTGTCAGGTTACATTTTTTTTTAGGATTTTAAAAAAAAATGGAATTACCATAGCTCTACAGCATTCCATAATGATGGGATTTTACAAATTTTCCCCAATCTTTTACATTTCCTGCCTTCTTCCTCACCATAGTCCTCTTTTTATGAGACACGAGTCAACAAACCTTTTAAATGACTTCTTGTTCAGTCACTCAGTCCAACTCTTTGTGACCCCATTTAACAACAGCACACTAATACTATCCATGGGTTTTTCTTGACAAAGACACTAGAGTAGGGTTTGCCATTTCCTCCTCCAGTGGATTAAGGCAAACAGTTGTTACATGACCTGCCCAGGATCACAAAACTAGTGTTTGAGGCTGGATGTGAACTCAGGTCTTCCTGATTCCAGGCCCAGAGCTCTATCCACTGAGCTACCTGTGAGAACTTTATACCATATGCTTGGGAAGGCACAGTTTACCTATCTCATTCTTTTTTCTAAACATGCTTCAGTTTTGGTAAAGTATTCTGATTTTATTTCTATTGAGTTAAAGAGAAACAAAAGATAAGCAGTTCTTCATTTTTCTACTACTCAAAATAGAATCGCCAGTACCCAAAAGGCAGTAATATGAAATACTCTGGTACAAATTAAAATGACCTCTTTTATTGATAAATTTAAACCTAAAACATGATCACATTAAAAAACCTGAACAGGTAACTTTATTCTTCAGCATGTTTTAGAACGGAGAAGTCTTGCTTTTTTCATTCAGGAGACTGTGGTTGTCTCCCTTTCCCTTATGTCTGTCTTCATTTTGAATCAACTGTCCACTGTGGGCAGGTAAAAGCAAAGCTTTGTTCAACAAGACATTTGTTATTAATTCAAGTTTTTCTACGGTATTAGAAAACCTTTCCTTATTTTACATTTTAAAGTCAATACTTGAAAATAAAACCAATTTTAAAGCAAAACAACCCCTTGCATTGGTTTATTACAAATTTCTTTTATAAATAACTTCCCTCCCCCAAACTTTAGAAACTTTATTCAAAAAACAAACATAAAAGTGAAGCTGGAGGAATTCAAAAATGCCCGTCACTCTACTCTCTTACGAGACTGTTCCAAGTTTCGCGGACAGCTGCAGGGCTTGATCAGGACAGTCATAAGCCACCCCATCACCAGCTCCTTGCTGGTAGACAGACCAGGACTTCCTAATCACTCTTATCCTCTCCTTGGTAATGTCTGTACTCTGGTTTCAGTTCCCAGGTGTTTTTGTGGGTCCCCTTAACATTGTAAATGCCTATTTCTCTCAAGATTTCCTTCAGGTATATCTAAAGAAGAAGAAGAAGAAGAAAAAAAAAGAAAAAGAAACAGATTAGATTATGAAGGCAATCACTATACTTTGCTTAAAACACAATTATTTGTTTGCCAAAGCAGACTTCTGTGTAACAAAAATTACGACCTGACAGATGTCACGCTCTCAGTGGGATTTCTTGACTACAGTTAAAGAATTCTGCTACTGTGGCTTCTGACACTATACTATTAGTCATATCACACATACAATTACCATGTATTTGAATTCACAAGAGGCTGGAAATCTACGCATGCCATCAAATTTAAAGCAGAGGTGATTTTTCTAGATGAACATACACGAATACCTAGCAAACTACTGTTGTTCAATGTTTCTTATTATGATGATGCCTCATTAATAACAGTAGTAGTAGTAGTAATAATCCATCTCTGCCAACCCTGGGAGTAAATTATGGAGTTCTACATGAAGTTACAATGCTGGTGGCTACAGAGTGGCCTCAAGGGTCCAAGAGAGGGTGAGAAAGGGTCATTACTATGGAGTAACCAGCTAGTACAGTGGCTATGGGTGCTAAGGAGGAAAAAGTGCCAGAATTAGGAAATCTGGACCTTTAAGTTTGCGAATCACAGGGGACTGCCTGGCCAGCTAATCACATTTCCGTCACCCCCGGGTCATGAAAGGGACACTGGACTGTGAGGACATCAGGGAAAATTCAGCAGTGACAGCAAAGTGCTTCATAACACATTGCAGTCTACTCTGAGTGGTTTCAAGGAGTTGACGTGTCAAGGGGGAATGCAGTGCTGTGCAAATTCTTCCTTGCCAACAGAAAACTAAATGAGGTTACCGAAAAGCAGAAAAAAAGGACCCAAAGCCCTGGGATTATTCTACTGTAGTGCACAACTCATTATTGTGCTACTCCAGGGCGTAAACAATTGCATCCCTGCCAACCGACTAGGAAAGGAGCAGCAAGTTATAAGTTGATCAATGTTAATTTAATCACTTCCCCTTTTAGGGAAAATTAGTCATAATTTCTAGTTATTACTCGAAAATTCCACTGACCAGTTAGAAAGAGAAGCTCTGGCTTCTGGGGCCCTTAAGTGCTATTTTTTTCTGACTTTTTTGGGACATCAAGGGAAAACACCAGGAACATCAATAGATCTCCCCTGCTGCTTTCTAAATGTGAATTTGGGGGGGGAGATAGAGATGAGAGATGGGGAAATTCTTTTAGAAACTGACTTTATTCTGATAGGAGAAGACTGAGCTTTTGGGAAAATCACAGAAAATTTTATGCCTGGCTTTGCACTAATTGTGTGATGGATGAATCGCTTGGTTTTGTGGAAGCTCAGTTCTGTCACAATTAAAGCAAAGCCTTTGGTCGAGATCAAGAGTTGATAACCCGGGACCTGCAAACTTGGATAAAAAATTTGGTAACCGAATACAACTGGTTTCCTTTGTAATTCTCTGCACTGTGTCTTACGCATTTAAAAAGATTATTCTGAGAAGGGGCTTATGCCACAGAAAAAGTTCTGATTCCCTGGCCTGAGGAATCTTCACAGACAGCCTCTTCTATTTCTGAAGGCCTAGGATTCTGAGTTCCCCGAGTCACTGCTTAGCTCACTGAGATATACAATCAAGGTATGAGGCTCCACATCCAATGGGGAATGCTTTTAACTTGTCCTCCCCCCAATTTGCAGCATCACCTATCAAAGGCTAACTGTTTTTTAAAAACAACACAAAACTGGTTGTTTAAAAGGCTCTTGGTCCTGTGATGTCAGCACTCCCAGCCCAAGCCCAGGAGGTGGCAGCAGGGGATCAAATGAGCACTGGGGCTATGGTCTCCTGTGACCCAGCAACGCCCTCCTCAACCATCTGCTGGAGGGTCAACAAGGACCTTTCTGAATGCGTACACACAGATGTTTCTGAACTGCCCCGATGACAAACATGTCAACTGCCGATTACTTCAACAAATTACATTTTTTAAAAGGTGTACACCTCAAGAACTAATAGAAAAGGAATCACAAACACAAAACTGTGAGTTGGCCACAAACTATTTGCAGTCTAGGTACAAAATGACCAATATAGTGATTTATTGAGCCAGTTTCAGTGAGTTAAGTAAATACATGAAAAGTACCTGCAAAATAGTGATTTGTCTCTTAGAAGCTAAAGATAAAAAAAAGGACTGAAAGAAGGTAAACTGACCTCCCAGCGTGGGGCTTCACTTCCAGCCCAAGGCTTCTTTGCTTAATAGCAGCAAATATAGTTCTGGGACACAAACTTGTTATAGAAAACACAAAGCTGGTGTGAGATATTAGTTGGTGAGAAACAGGCACACACACACACACACACACACACACACACACACAGAGGCCCTCATACATTTGATGTTTTGGGGGAGGGGTTGCTTTTCTGTTATTTCTTCTCCCTCCCCCTTTTTGCTTTGTTGGCTAGGTATAAGGATATAAGCAGCCCATATTTCTTTCACATGAATTTTGAATTCTTTCCTCTTTAATGGAGATATGGAGGTTGCAATGAACCACTTATATTCTCTCACACTGACTCAACCTTTATTAAGCACCTACTAAGTGCAGAGCACTGTTAGATGCTGAGTGAGGTACAAAGTTCAGATAAACCAAGTACCTAATATAAAACAAAACATGATGAGTGTATAAGAAAGGTGAAACGTGTCATGGGAGGGGTGGGGAGAGTTGGGCTTTAAAGGATGGGGGGAGGGAAGTGAGAAAAGTTGAAGGGGAGGGCATTTCAGGCACTGAGAAACAATGTGAGGTATAGAGGTGGAAAAGCACAGGGTGTAGGGGAAGAGAAGTGCACAGAGTACAGAGGAATAATAAGGAAACAAGACAGGAAAGAGAGAAGAGCACCATGGTGTGGAAGACCTTGTAGGCTAAGAAGCTTGAATTTCACTTGCTAAGTAATGGGGAACTGCTAAAAGGTTCTGAGTAAGGCTGACATGCCCTGATTTGCGGGTAGGGAAGACAGGTCTGTTAGAGTGTAATACAGATCATAAAGGGAGAGAAAATGGAGGCATGGAGAAGTATTAGAAAGCTAATCAAATAATGTAAGCACAGCAAAGTGCCACTTTTATAAGACATCTCTTAGGAGGTCAGAAGTCTGGACATGGCAAAATGATCTCTACGCAAAGCTTATCTGTTTGTTCTCAAACCTATTAGCTGACGGGGAGCAGCTCCGCTGGACCCAAGTCAGTTAATTTGTCCGTGGTTCCCACTCAACATTTATTAAAATGACGGGGTGGAACTCAATGATCCCTAAGGTTGCTTCTAGCCCTAACATTCTATGACCTTGACCAAGTAACATAAACACTGAGGAAACAGGCAGAAGATGAGCTGAGGAAAAGTCATGTCTAGAGGCAGTACCCTAGGAAAGCACTCAAAGAAAGAGCCCTAGGCAGAGGACAATGCATGTGGTGATAAAGGAGACCGGGGGAAGGCTGGTTAGATACAGCAGTTAAGAAGAGAGTATTACAGCAATAGGACCGAGACCAGGTATGAGGAGGAGAAGAAGCCAATGCTACCACCTCTTAGCTACTGGCTTCGCAGAGCTCCCCAATACATTACTGATACCCTTGTAAGGCTGTGGTCCATAGTGTGAGGAATATACTGAGGTATTGATTCAGTTAATTCAATCTTCCTGTATGTGACTAGGTTACTTTGGCACTAAGTCTTTTAATTTTTCAGGTAGAAAGAAACTGTAGGCAACACAAAAAGACATAAAGGAGATTTATAAAGCTCTAACAGGATCACAAACAAAAGTCTCTCTTTTTTTTGGTTACCGAATCAAGTTCTTAAGGGATAACTATGCTGGATAAATGCCATTTAATTTTGGAGAGTGACCCTCCAACTGCATAACGGCATGTTGATTATAAGCAGAGAGAACATCCAGGGTATTTAGTATGAGGAGTCAAGAGTTCTTCCAAATTCTGAGTACTGGAATCTGCTTCTTCTGTTTTTCTGCCTTCCATTATATTTTTAAGAAAGAAATCTGCCCCTAAGTCAATCAACTTTGTATCACAAAAGACTGGGGAGATTTCTCACTACAGACTGTGTGCTGCTCTGTGTTACAAGATCTGAAGCAATCAACTGGCTCAGGTCCAGCAACTCTTCCTCAAAGAGCTGTGTGGGAGTGTTTACAGCTAGCCTGAATTCGGGAAAGAAAGCCCGACAGGTTCTGTGGGAGAGAAAAGCAAGTCATGTGTGTGACCCCAACAGGTTAAAGGACTAGGAAATCATTGGCATTTGTGCAAGGAAAAAAAGTTGTGGTTTCAAGGTAAAAATTTGGAGGTTCTCTACCCCCAGCCCATGACTCTCCATGCTACCTCTTCCCAAGCCTGAGCCAATAGATGTAGAATCACACGGCAGAGCAGCCTACTGTTTGATTCTTCCTGTCCCTCCTCCCACTGCTGCCATTTCTTGCAACCATCCAACCATCCTTTTCTCTATGGATGTTCCAAACCAAATGATGGACTGATGTCTGTAAAGGATCTAGCCACATCTGTGGAAGGCTTTGCATAAGGAATATATTTGAATTTGAAAAAGGTAATTAATATACCCCAGAGAATGAATTTACCTTTAAGTTAAAGTTGAAACCTAAGCTCTCATACTTCTTATGTGAAGTAAAAATGCTATTCAACTTGGCTTTTATTCACAGATCTCACATAAATGTTTTTGCAAAGGTTACAGTTAAATTAAAAAAAATTTTTGAATGATGTAGCCACTAACGAAAAGGAATCTATATTTTCTTTTTTTTCCCGTAAGGAAGCAAACTGCTAATAGCAAGAAAGCATGGATGTTTAGCACGTTTCATTTCTGCTGGTCTTTGTTACCACCAATCTGCTCACGCAAAGTTAGCTCGGGTTGATGAATTCCAAAATAACACTTATCTTTACAGACTGTATTTCCTGTACTGAACTGAGGTCTCTGTTTCAACATAGGTGGTTACCGCCTGGTTGTGGTTTTCTGTTCTACAATTACTTTTGGAGGAGATGAA